GGGGGGGGGGGGGGGGGAGATCAATTGTGGTCCCCAAATGATCCCGTCGATGTCTTGAGTCATACGGTAAACGGTCTCGTATATGTTTTACAATACCACTACCACTTTGTTGACTTGTACTCGCGTTATTTTTGTTGATCAACGAATTCATCGAGCCGTTTCCGGTTACTGATTGTCCCGTCACTTTCGCATAATGTCTACAACATTCCCGACAACCCAAGTAGGAGTGTATACAAGTTGTGAGGGCATACAGTTGACAAAACACAAGACAAACACAATTATTACAATATTTTTTTCAATTTTTTTAGCCCATTCAGAAATAGAAAGCCATCTTATCTTCTGTTAACACCTGCGGGAAGCAAAACATAGAGGATCTATCAAAGGACGGATCAGCTGGACGGTTGTCCCATAAATAATGCTGAAGTATCATTGGAAAGCAGGATTCAAAATAAGGTTTGTCGAAGGCCAACGGATCGCGAAGTATAGGACTTAAAGGGAAAAATGTATCTAGTTCGACGACATTTGACGAAGTAGCCCAGCGTAGTCTCCAATCGAAGAAGCCGATCGACTTGACTATCGAAATAGGACCTTATGCCCTCTGAGATTTAGAGATGCTATTAGGCCGTCGCTTTGGATGAGATGATAACCTGAGAATCTACTATGAGTAAAAAATTGAATGCCCTTCTGTTGGCAGTTGCCCATCTATAGAAATTACGATGAAGAGTATTTCTCGAGAAAACGCTCGAACTTTCTTGAAAAAATGCTTCCTGCGATGGGCCTACGAAACTTGATATCAGGCACGGAGCGTTGATCCTAGTCAGGTGATTCAGGAAAGAAAGTGAAGAAAATGCTGACAATTCGAAAACGAAGCTTAGCTGATGTTGAACTTCAACCGTCCTAGGCTCTAAAACACCCAAAAAACTAACAAAAGAGGAAGCTAGTTGAGATTTTCGATCACGGTTTCCTCTTAAAAATCACCCACCTTCCCAGTTTGCCCTAGTCATTGGCACAGAATCTTGTCAGGGACAACATCAAAAATGAACATTAGTGATATTGCAAAGTGGGTGGTGTTCATTTAGAAAACATTTCTTATTACGTGTGAGTGTGAGGCAACAAACTGGAATGTTATGTTCGAATACCAGACAGTTTTGCACTATGAAAGAAATAATCTGACAGAGTAATGCAAATAAATTCCAAGAACCCCATCGTCACTTACATTTTTGGGCATTGATAGGAATGTGGGCCGTTCGCTCATTGAACTTCTTCCAAACAAAACACACCCTCGTCCTAGATTTGGCTATGGTACTGATTTACAGTATATAAGGCTGATCTGTTAACTAGATGGCCTCATGGAGTAGCGGTATATCCCAGTACTCAAACAGCTCGCGGCTTTTGAACTGAGCTGAGGTGCTGGGCGCATTCCAAAAACTCATTCAAGCATCTTTACTTCCAGTGGCATTACAGCAATGCTGGTAAACAAAGCCATGCCGTCCACCGACCCACAATTCTACGTTACCTTCAAAGTTCGCCTCCCACGAGGTAGGTAACACGGCGAAAATTCCTGGTTTTATGGGTTTCCGGCGTATTCAGCCAAATTTGGCTGATTCGGGAACAGGTGGCTTTGATGAGCCGCCATAGTGGACTATTTTGGATGCCGGGCATGAGAAGGTGGCCATTCGTGCTGCTTTCACTATCAATCACACCTCCCACACATTGTTTGGAATTCCACTCGAATGACGTCCTTTGCCCGCCTTTTCCCTACAAAATGGGTTCGACCGTAGGACCGCCCCCTGCAAACATGCATGTAGCTTCGGCCTGTGAGGTTTGCACATTTCCTATGGGTCTCGATCAGGAGGCAGTTTTCTTCCTGCAGAACATGTTTTGTATATGTTTTTATGTCTATTTGTGCCATGCCTTATCTCCTAGCTCATACCTTTACTCACCCTGA